TCCAGAACTGCAAATTCTCTTAAATCTCATGCATTCTGAATGAAAATAAAAGGAAGTTCATTGTACGTCTGAACAATGTAACAGATAAAAATGTTACAAAGAGAGAAAAAATAATTTCAATTCCAACAAACCGATTTGGAAAGTTCCAATAAGAGAGAAAAGAAAATTCTTGCCTAAAAATAGAAAAAATTCAAAAGAAAAGAAAAGGAAAATTGATGAGATAAATGTTGAGTATGTTGTCAACTTTTATGATGAGAAGTCAAAGATTGTAATAAATCTGGGTTTATAGGAACATGTAGCATAAAAATCTGTGACATTGTTGAAGCTGTAAATTTGAAATTGGATTTTTTTTGAAAGTTAAAAATAATTTACAACAAATATTGAAAATTTGGAGTTTTGCAAGCTAACAAAAGGTTCAAATATTTATTTCAAAATATTAAAAATATCAAAATTTAAAAGATAATTATTTCAGCTTGAAAAAATTACTTTTTTCAAAACAAATGAAAATAAAAGTTTATCAACACTTTTAGAAAAATTACTAAAATTTGAAAAAAATTGAAATATTTTCAAAACTCCAATTTTTGTCAAATCTAAAATTCAATTACAAACTCCAAGCTTTTCAAAAATTCTTAAAATTTCCCCATCATTCCAAATTCCCCAAAATAATCAACGAAAAAAAGTCATTTTAAAGCAAACTTTTGTAATTAACATCATTTCTAACGACAATGTGTCATTACGCATTCAGCTCAACATCCGAACGAAGTTTTTTCCTCATTCCTTCTTTACGCTCAATATTCATTAAAGTTGTATGTAAGAAAAAGATGAAAAACGAAAAAAGAAAATTGTTCATCGTGTCATCGTGACTCAGATGGATGAAAAGAAGAAAATAGAAAAAAAAACTTTTCATGCCATCCAACCTGCAACATTTATATCCCTACCATTAAAGACAAACAGAGACATAGATATTTATTTTTTAGCTCATATATGTCTCATTGAGGGGGATCTAGGGAATTATCGGAAGGCTGATTTGAATATTTTTAATATGATTTTTTTCTAAGTTTTTAAAACTTTTTCAAGATTTCTTAATCTTTTAAGATTTTAAACATTTTTTTGAATTTTAATTTTTTTAAATAAATTTTTCAAATATTTTCAATAATTTTGATTTAAATTTAAAATATTATTTGAAGAAATCTTTAAAACAAATCAAGTTTTGAATTTTAACTGACAATTCTAGGACTTAACTGTCCCCCTTGCACCTTCCATACCTCCATTCTTCAAGTAACATACGTATATGTTTTCTAAATATCGGATAGATGGCATTAAGAAATGGATAGAAAAGTTGTTTAATTTAATACGTGAAAGAAATTTCATATAGCTTTAACTCATTGTTGATGTTATAGCTGCTCACATCCTGAAACCACAACGGTAAGGTAAATCATAAGACTCTCTATTACATGACAAAAATATTAATTTCAGTCGAGTTTAAATCAATTAAGAAGAAAACTTTAGACTTTAGTTTTAATTACAAAAAGCTTTTGAGCTGGAAAAAAATTAATGTGTGCTGGGTGGAATTAAGAAAGTTTTAAACGAATTTTGTAAGCCGCAGACGAGAATGAGATTTTTGGTGACAGATTGGGATGCTGGAGATTAACTTTGGGATAGCATTTTGAATGTTTTGGAATTTGAAAAATATTGAATTCAGAAATATTAATAAATTTGACGTAAATTAATTTAATTTGCTGAGTTTTAGGAAATTTTAATTTTTTATGAAAATTCTCAAGTTTTTAAATTTAAAATAAATTCAATTTTAAATCTACAAAATTCAAACGAATTCAATTTTTTAAAAATGCAACAAATTCAATTTTTTTAAAAATTCAACAAATTCAATTTTTTAAAAATTCAACAAATTTCATTTATAATCTTTAAAAAATTTTAACTTATAAAAAAATTCAAAATTTTCAAATTCTTTAAAAATTTGATTTTCGTTATCCAAATCTTCAATTTTTGTAACTTCAAAAATTTTAAATTCTAAAATATTCAATAAATTCAAATTTTAAAAATTCAAAAATTTATATTAATTTATACTCAAATATTTAAAATATTTTAAAATTCAGTATTTCACACAATTCACCCAGCATCTCCAACTTGCTCTCATTTTCAAATCCTTAATCACTTTCCCAACTCGCTTAACATTCAGCAGTAGAAATGAAAATGTTCATACGTGTGTCATCATTTCATTATTTCATTCTCAGCCATTCTTCTCGTCCTATTGTTATTATAAAGTTAATTAAATGTGAAAGAAGAGAAAAAAAATGTAAAGGATGAGGACCATTAAAAATGCGAAACAACTCTCTCGCGAGCTTATAAGACTTAATGTGCAATTTAAATTTGAGAATAATTTTTTGCCACATAACAGGAAGCAGTAAAAGGGATCTACCCATGGTATTCATAAATTTAAATTGAAATGGAAAATTTGTACATAAAAATTTAATTAATATGCAAAGTAAAAAAAAGGCAAAAGCACAATGAAGATGAAAAGGAAAAAAATAAAAGAATTTTATGGAAGCATGAAAAGTTTATAAGAATCAACATTCTTTATGTCTTGAAGGAATATTTGATGAACTTTCACATTTCAATTCTTTTCCCATTCTTTTCAATCCATAAATGCATGTCCAAAGCACTTTTCATTTCTATTTTGCCCATGGCTGAAAATATGTATTTTAGTACTCAACATACAACTCGATAAGATGAGAAATATCGTTGCTATTGTATAGTCAATATTTAATAAAAGAGAACTATTGAAAGTCATATGTGTGGATTGGGTTCGAATGAAGTTTGATTGAGACGCATTTTTGTTGTGTCTTGTGTTTTATGACAAGAATCGTGTTGACTTGGGGAGTCAGTAGTGTCCCTTATAAGCTAACCTTATTCGATAATAACCATTAAAAAAGACTGATGAGACTTAAATATCCTAAATTTAGAAAAACACTCAAAATGCTCTCCAAACTTCACAATTTTCAATTTTACAAAATAATAAAATCACAAAAAAAATAAATATTTTATAGACGAAAAAAGTGTGCATGTTTATGGCTTTTGTGGTTGATTTTCAATATCCAAAAAAAAGAAGCTGAAGCGGAAATATTATATGATGCAAATATGCATAAATATAACTGAGAGCAAAAGAATAAAAAATCTGATTGAATTTCACAACCACACAAATATCAAATAAATGTATAAAGCATGTTTGAGCATAAAAAGCACTAAAGTTATGATTGCTTGTGGATATTTTTCACTCTTGCTTCGTTTATTATTTGACGAAACTGATGAGATTGTTTGTGAAAAAAATTGAAAATAAAAAATTTGTCAAAATTTTATGATGCTTGGACAATGAAAATTGTTTGCAGTTCGTGAGCTTGTTTGTTTGTTTTCGGTAAATTACTGTCATAAATGAACAGTCATCAAATTTATTTTGATGGTTTATTATTGGATATCAGGTCTGATATGCTTTTGTGAATGAGTATTTAATGAAAATTGTTGAAATTTCATTGTAAATCGATCATCAAGTGCTTAATTAGTATTGTGACTTAATTGATTGATGTTACCGGCAACTTGTCATTGTTTGGTGTGACTTTACCTTGACTGTAGAAGCTTCCTGAAAAGTTATTGATAGTTTTTGAAATTAAAATTTACAAATTAAAGTTGGAGCTGGTCATAAATGACGTCCACTATTAACTAGGGGAGACCCTTGACGAAAAAACTCCAGACAGGGACCAGACCTAAATGTTGAACATCATTTAAGAACGGCCCCTTGTAGATTTTTAAAACAAAATTTGAACTTATCAATTAAAATTTAAATAATTTTATTAACATTATATAATAATTTTAAGATACACTACAAGCACACTTCCTTGGTTCAGGTGGATTTTTATAAATTTTAATAATTTTCAAAAATAAATCGTCAATTCCAATCTGCAATCAATAATTACTCATTATTTAAATTAAAGCCACAAATGCCTCCAAAACTTACCTCGTCAACTGCAGAGCACTCATGGAAAGTCAAATTTTCACTTCTAGAGTATAAATATCCATCTTCGACGCTAATTGGCTTCTGATTTTGAATCCTGTCGAGCCTTAGCAAACTAACTTTGTCATTTCGTAAATCTATTTTGGTTCCAATTATCATTAAGTGTGTTCGAGGTGAATTTTTCCGTAGAATTGGTATCCACTGGGGATTGTGAAATGTGAAATGTGAAATAATTAGTGAAATATTCAGCATGTTGGATACAGATAGAATGCTTTAGGGGGGGGGGGGGGGGGATTTGAGATTTTGGAACAGTTCAAACCAGGCTCGGGGCCGGGGAGGAAGAGAGGATTTTGGTGACAAATCTTCCAATGACAACAGAAAATTCTTCATTTTGAAAGGGGTTTGTAAAAATAGGGTGGAGGGGGGGTGTGTTAAAAAGTCAAATTTTCATTTTTTTTTAATTTCAAGTTTAAGAATTCAACTTAAAAATTTCACTTTTAATTTAACTGGTTCCACTCACTCTCTTTTTAATATCCTGAAAACTTTTCAAATCCATCACTGAATAGCAAATTAACGCAACACTAAAACTATCATTCTGCATTTCCTCAATTATTTTGTAATAATCAACAGATTTTGTGTCCCAAAGTTCCATATTATATTCTATGTCGCCATCGTTCATTAACACACTCATTGTACTGACATTATCGAATGGTTTATATTCACTTTTAACTCTCCTAACGCATGCATTTAGTAAACTTGTTTTGCCAACTGCTGAACTTCCTATTGCAACTATTTTGATTTTTACAGACTGCATTTTTTTAAAATTAATACTTTATATCTTCCTGAGCGTTCAAATGAAGACTGACATTGAGTAATGAAATTTTTAAAAATAAATAAAAAACCATAAACTATCAGCGATAAGGTTCTTATCAATTCTTATCTGCAAATAAATAAATTATTGAACTAGACATAGCAATGAAGTGATTAAAGAGACTTTTTTATTTCGAATATTATTGTTCTTTGATAACAATTGTTATGATTAATATGTAAATTTTCAGGGCTGTAAATTGGGCTTTTTAAAATTAATTGAAGATTAAGTATTAAGGATAATAAGGCTTTTTAAAATCTGGACATTAAATTTCTTTTGAATTACATGATTGTGCATCTGTTAGCTACAGTTGAAATACCTCCTAAAATCACAGCTCCTGCTGCTGTAACAGCCAATCTAGCAACTACTCCACCAGGAAAGAAAGGTGCTCCCAAAGTAAAGGCACTCATTGCAACTGTTAACATTTCTGTAAAAGCGTGGTTCTCATTTGCTTGACGTTCAATCGCTTGCAGCCTATTATTCTCAGCATTTATTCGAGCTTCTAAAATCTCTCTTTGTCTGACATGCTCTTCATCTTCTATTATATCTCCGTTCTCGACAAGTTCAACTAACCTCCTTTCAGCCTCTCTTTGGACTTGTTCTAGTTCCAATCTTTGCTGTGTTTCTCTGTCAAGTAATGCTTGTTGTCTAGCTACTTCCTCCTCAACTGCCTGAGATAAAAAATTTTGGCTTGCAAAAAAATTAAAAATTGAATCAATTTCGCTGTTTAATTTTGCTTTAAACTTTTCTTCATGATCGATTGATCCCATCTTGCGTTCCTTATTAAATAACTCCAAAGCTCTATCTTTACAATTTTTGTGCATAATTTGAATGCTTTCCTCGTTACTTATAAGCTCTCTATTGCGATACATTGTTTTTTTGTAGTCATCGATGCATTTCTTAATTAAACTGTTCATGTTACTCTCGACTGTCAATTCGTAAATTGTTAATGTCTCTGGAATGTCATCAGACTGGAATATTTTGAAAAATTGCATGATATAATCCTTCAATTCCATGCCTGTCAGTTCCTGTCCGTTCACTTTCTTTAAAACCATGTTTTTAGGCAGCAACAGCAATTCTATGATTTTTTCCAATTCTTCTTTAAATTCTTCGTCCATCGATGACCATCTTCCATCATACTCTTTAATTCTAGAGACATGTTTACCAGGATGAGGCAATAAACAGCATTCAATTGTCTCAAAAGAACTTCTGATCGATTCACGGACAGAAATTAGTTCTCCTTTTTGTGACGGCTTGATTTTGAGGACTTCTTCCTCAAAGTACTGTTTGCCGCCATCAATTCCAAATGCAAAATCTTCATCATTTTCCCAATCGCGAATGAGAAATGTCAAATTTTGGAATGGATTTTCATTGGTTTCTCCTGCTTGTTCCACATTAAATTTTGCATAATTAGTTGCAAATTGTAAATATTGCAGCTGATCTTCTTGAATTCGGTTCTTTAAATTCAACACTTGTATAGACGAAATTAAAGTTCCAAGAGCAAAAATTCTTGAATTATCAGTTGGAGTTGATTCTGTGTCAAACAGACCCTGTGTGTCGATCACAAAAATAGCTATTTTCTCTCCAGTTGTATCGATTGTATGCAGAAATATGTCACTCCAAATGATGATGCCCGTTGTGTCACGTTTTGTACCAGAAACCCATGAGAATCCATTTAATGGATCATCTTTGTTGCCCATCCAATTTTCGTTCTTTTTGAAAATAAATTGAGACTTCTTGTTGGGATTGTTGATTGATGGGAACTATGGAAGTTAAGTTATTACAATTTTAATTATTTAGGGATTTAATAAAGGAATTAAAATTGCTGCATTGAGTGTTGATGGGTACCCAGAGTGGGGGATCTGGGAGGAGAACCCCTCAGGGGTTTTGTAGAAATATTAAAAAAAACCCACTCCCTCCCCTAATTTAAATTCCTGGCTAGTTAAGGTAATCCTAAGCTTTATTCTTATACTTCATCAAACCCTGACATTTTGAATTTTCCTGTTCTTCTTACTCTCTACATCAGTGGTGGCAAACCTTTTTTGTACCTAGTAAGCCATGCCAAAACCGCACACACGCATGATTTACGGGATTTCTCAATTTTTTTCCGCAGCAGACTAATGTGCCGCGGAAAACGGGTTGCCCATCACTGCTCTACATTGATAAAGGAACTTTGACCACACCCTTAATTTGTTGATATTTTTACTTACGTGAGCATATAAGAACCTCAAACAATAATCCAAAAAGAAACTTTTGCCACCTCGAAATGCTCCAATTGTTGAAAAAATCACAATTTTACGATCTTGTATTTCTGGATGTCCAAACAGTGTCTCAAGTTCTTCTTCTTCTACAATCACTTCCTTGTTGTCAGTTGTTCTGAAAACACTTACCGGCTTTCCATAAGGATGATCGAAAGACATTTCAAAAGGATAGTTTTGATGTTTAAACAAAGAATTAATTTGTATACAGCTTGTAGATTAATAAATTCTTAATCGATGTAAATATTGTATTAAAAAATAAACAATTCCAAAGTTTTAGTTATTTTCGTTACAAGTTCTTCTTCTTATAAATATCTTAAATAGTAGAAAATTGGCAGGGCTCTTGATTTTCATGCAACTGGTGATATTCAGTCATTCAGTTCATTTGATATTCATCATTTAGAATTAAAAACTGAGAATAAATGGATAAGATCGTTTGAAATTCATATCGATATTCTATAAAATTAGATCTTTAATTAAAAAAAAAAAATTAAAATAAAACTCTTAAATAAAAACTAAATTGAATAAAAATTGATCAACGGTTGAATTTGAAAAAAGAACAAACCCTGCAATTCATTTTAATCTTTAAAAGCATTCAAATTTTTCATTGCCGTTGATTATGAACAAACTTATATTTTTTAATAACCAACTTTTCATCCACAATTTAAAAAAAAATAAATTTAAAATTCTAAATCTTAAAAAAAACATTCAAATTTAAATCTTAAAAAAAATTAAAATTTAAATCTTAAAAAAAATTAAAATTTAAATCTTAAAAAAAAATAAAATTTAAAATCTTAAAATCTTAAAAAAAAAACATTAAATTTAAATCTTAAAAAGAAATTAAATTTAAAATTCTAAATCTTAAAAAAAAATAATTCAAATTTAAATAAAATTGTAGAAAAATAATTCGTTTAATTTTTAAAGGAACAAATGAAAACTGAAACGGATTTCAAAAAGTTGCGCCAAACAGAACAATAAATTTTTTAAGGTTTTCAAACATTTAAATTTTCAAAAACCGTTAATCTTGATGAAAATGTGAAAATTCTTAATTGAAATTTGTGAGGCTTCCGGTATTTCAGTATAGATGATAAATTCGTAAATTACGTTTGCCAAAGGGGAATTGGGGAAGCCGAAGTCTGACTTCGAAGCTGACCAAAATGTCAATAGCATACCTTTACATGGTATCCTCTGATACCGCTGAATAAACCGCTGGTGACTGAACTTAGTGCTGGGATAAGATTGGGAAAAGCTAAAGGAAAGATTTAAAGCCCATACAACCTAGCCTATAGAGTGGCAGCCCCACATTCAGGCTAGGGATGGTGAGTTTTACAACCAACCATTTCTGAAATCAATTTGTACAAAAAAAGCAATAAATAGTCACGCAAAAAAAAACAACTTTTTCGAACCTCTTCCCCCTTCCGCCCTCTTGTCAACAAAATTATAAAAAAAATTATATATTAATATTTCTCGAACGTCCCCTAATGAATTAAATTTGAATCGTATCAAAACCAGAAAAAGTTTGAAAATTGACTAGTAAACTTTTGAACTTAATAAATGTAGCCAGGGAAAGGTGCCATATGAACCCTTCAGAGAGGGCTTAGGGCACATCATTCCCACCTCATACTCCCTATTTCATCCGCTTCATTCTCATGAAGTTTATATAAATTAAAAACCTTAAATTTCTAAATTCATCAAAGAATTTTAATCTCATAATCTTTTTTTGAAAATAAAATAACTTAAAGAATAACTCCGCCTGCATCTTTAATGGATTTTTGCATGAATCCAAATGCCGCATGTTAGTTATTAACATAATTTTCTCCTATAGAGAATTAACACATAAAAAAGCTATAAAAAATTTGTTGTTAAATTAATTACGAACCAAAGTAATTAAATTCATGTGTTTCGGATCATCTTCCAACTGTGATCTCCTCACAAGTAAGCCAAGCAGAACGAAAATCCTGAATTGTTGATTGCCCACCATTTTACACAGATCATGCACTTTTATGATGCATCATGATGTAACATTTATGTGAGCTGCAATTTTTTTTATTACAAACTTTAATATTTTATAATTTTTTTTTTATTAAATGGCCTCAGTCGAGGTGAGAATCAACATACATATTGAGTATATATTTTTACACTAAAAAGAGGAGGGAGATGTGAACAAGAAAATGCGACAGATGTATGAGAGACACAATAAAAAAAAATTATTGTTTTAAAAACATTTTTCATCTTTTCTTTCTGCTGCTGCTGCTTTTTTAAATCATGGCTGTTGTCAGTGATTTTTATCTTTACTGCGAATGTATTTTTTTATTTTTCTCTTGATCATCGCGATGCAATAAATTTAAAAATAATAATAATATTTATTTATGAAATGGTATTTGCGAAGAGATTTTTTTATTATTAGAGGATTTTAAATGGGAAGGGGTGCAGGCAGTAGATGATCACATTAGCAAACAATAATAGAACTTCAACCCTTTTTTTTAAATGACGCAAAGTTTCATTTTTAATTTTACATTTTTAATGTTGTTAGCAAAAAAATTGTCATTTTAAAGTTCAATTAATAGTGTTTGGTATAATGGTTGTATCTGAAAGAGGTAACGGCATATGAAATGACCTGAGTGCATTTTTTGCTACTTTACAGCTTACTGTACTGGTTTTGCTGCTTCTTTTCTTTTCTTCTTTTTATTGAAGATCATGAATTTTATTATGTCATAAGTCTCAATTGCTTCCGATGTGAAGATGCAATTTTTTTATTATTAAATGTTAAATAATAAGTTTTTCAAATTAAGCTGAAAGTTTTAATAAACTTAAATCAAATAAGCAACTTATTTTTTTTAAGAAATTCCTATTTTTTTAAAAAGAGTTTTAATTCAAATTTCAAAAGTTATTAAATAATTTAAATAAAATCAAATGAATTTGGATTTTTAATAAATTTAAAAATTCAAATAAATTTCAAAAATACAAATAAATTTTAAAAATTCAAATAAACTTCAAAAACTCAAATGAACTTTAAATATTAAAATAAACTTTAAAATTCCAAAAAATATTAATTATACAAATTGATTTTAAAAATTCAATTAAATTTTAAAAATTCAATTAAGTGATTTTTTAAAAATGTCATGAATAAAGAATTTTTTTTTAAAATATAGTGAAATAATGGAAAGAATCAAAAAAATTTTCACTTTATAATTATTTCCAAAAAAAATAATCTTTATTTTTGAAATAAAATTGAAAAGAATACTTTTGAAATTTGAAATTAAATGAGTCAAAAAAAATTTTTAAAATCATTTTAAAAATTCAAATTCAAAAATATTTACATTCAATATTCACTTAGCAATGCCAAAAAAAATCCCATTACAACACAACCCATTCCAACTCTATATTTATTCATTTTAAAAATGATTTCTTTACAGATTTCTCCTTCATTATAATTTAATAACAAAAAATTGGCGTTAAAATTATAGGTTGCAGTTACAAAAATATCAAATAGAAACCCCGAAATGTGTATGAATACAGCAGCAACAAGAATAGAAAACAAGTAAACTCGATTGAAGCCATGACACAGTTTTCCAACAAAAAAATAAACCGTATGAAAAGAAAACAGAAAAATAATAAATTTAATTTTAGTCGATGAAGTTTAATTACAATGTTTTATTTTGGCAACAAAATTAGAGTCTTTTTTGTAAAGCAAATATTTTTTTCATGTATGGCAGGCATGCAGAGCATTAAGAGAGGGAAAAAAACAAAAAAAAAATCAAAATGGAAAGCAGCACGGTGTGATTTAGACATAAATATTAGAGGGAATATTGCAAGCTTGTGGCAACAACAAGAAATCCATTTACTGTAACTAACAATATTGTTGAATTCGCCCCTCATCAGTTATTTCAACCATCTTTTCTCTTCTTCTATTAAACAATCAAAATTTATCTTCACAGCCGCACATCGTATGATAATAAAAAATAATCCACATAAAATGTTTTGAAATTCATTTTCATCTGTGTACAAATGTTGACTATATCGCTTGATTGTCACATATTTTCTCGATTTTAAAAAAAAATCTTTGAACAAGATTAATAAAAATGAACGTTTTATATGTTTTAAAATATGCGCAGGGAGGGATGAATTGTTCTGCAGTTTTGGTGATGAGTTAATTTATTGTGATTTGTGAAAATTGTATTTTTTAAAATATTTTGAAAAAGGTTTTATGGTTAAAAGGAATTTGATGATTAAGTTGGGATGATGCATTAAATTCTGGATTATTTTAAAATTTTAATTTAATATTGAAATAATTTAATTTGATATCCATTAAAAATCATTTAAACAATTTAAAAAAATTATTTTTAATTTCTTTTATTTTTCATTTATTATGTTGATCAACTTTTTTAAAAATTTGTAAGTTATTGTTTTAATTTTTTGTTTTTTTGAATTTTTTTATATTCTCAATTTTTAAATTTATTTTATTTAAAAAAAATCTTTATAATTCCCATTCGTGAAATTTTAAAACAAAAACGATATGTTTTAATAAAACAAATAAATTCAAAAAACCTTTAAAAACTAAGAATGCATCTTAGACCATCACAAACGATATACTCTTCAAACAATCTGCTGCACATCACACATTTCACTCAGTCGGCATCATTAAAAACTGATGGATGTAATGATGATTTGCCTGATGTCCATCTTAAAACATTTCATTTGCCACCAGAACAATAGATTTAAAATGTTATTGTTTGATTTAGTGGTTTGACTAAGGGTCATGTCCATTTTGATATATTTATTTTCCTCCTCTACAAGCCATTGTAAAACAATATTTTATAAAAATAAAATCAATGGCCCACAAATACCTAAGCGGATAATTTACAAAAGGATCAAGTAAGTAAGAATTTCATTTCTTGTGGACGACAAAATAAAAATTCTTTTTCTTCTTCCCGAATTTACCAAAAAAAATAGGAATAAGAAGGAAGACAAAAGAGGCCAATGAAGATATTGAAATAAAATAAATTGTCCTTAACTTAATCACAATTGTTGTTTGTTGCAGTAAAAGGCATAAAGTGAACAAAAGACCAAAAAAAAAAAATCAGACCGAAAATTGGTAATGAAGACATCTTTCAGTGCCAATTTACAGTATAAAAAAAAATCGATGAAAAGACTGAGTGAAAAAAAAATATTCTTTTTCTATTGTTTAACGTGGTTTTTTATGTTCTTTATTTTATAATAGAATCGGATCGAAGTGAAAAAGAAAAGAAGGGAGGATGAACATGTGAAAAATTTCATGGATAAACTGTACACACAGAGA